GGACCCGGTGGCTTAAAACTCACGCCGGGCGCGTGTGCGTGCGTGCCCAAGATCCCGAGAGGAGAATGGAGGAGAAGGGATTGCGGCGTGACCATCCCCCCTGGGGGGTGATTTCTCGCTTTCTGTCTCTATGTCTCTCTCTGTCTGTCTGGTGAGCGCACGCGCCCTACAGTGAAAATCTCTCAAAAGAAAAAAAAAAAAAAAAGAAGGACAGCTGCAATGCCATTAAGTTTTGCAAGAAAGAATACAGGAAACACATGATCCAGGATGCCAGAACCAGCTTTCCACAGAGCCAGGGGTTCATGATGACCGTGTAGTGCAGGGGGTGACAGATGGCCACATACCGGTCATAGGCCATCACACTCAGGAGGAAGTCATCCAACACTAGGAAAACTGTAAAAGAACACCTGGGTGATGCAGCCTGCATAGGTGATGACCTTGCTCTGTGTCTGGATGTTCACCAGCATCTTTGGGAGGGTTGTGGAGGTGAAGCAGATTTCAGCAAAGGACAGGTTGGAGAGGAAGAAGTACATGGGGGTGTGCAGGTGGGAGTCTGAGATGGTGGCCAGGATGATGAGCAGGTTTCCACACACAGTGATCAGGTACATGGGGAGGAAAAGCCAAATATGAAGGATTATAATTCTTGTTCCTCTGAAAGTCCCAGAAGAAGAAATTCTGAAATTTTCGTATCATTTCCTGGTTCCATGGTGACTACTTGAAAAGAGGAAAATAAGTGAGTAAATGTAAAAAATAAATTAAATTTTTTAAAAAGGTGGGTAATTTCCTATGAACACGTATTACTCACCTAGATAAAATGCCATAGTTAATATTTTCCTATCACAAAGTTATTTCCTATATTGTATGGATCTAATTTCCTTGAGGTTTTCAAAGTGCATTCCCTTCTTAGGACTTCCTATCTTCTTGGTTTCCATAAATCATGTATTCTACAGGATTTTTATCTTATTACTGACAAATAATAATTGTACATATTTACGGTGGACACTATAATGTTTCAGTAGGTTTTATCATTTGTTCATTTTTTGCCATAGCACACATGCACTCGACAGACCAGGAATGGGAGGGAGAAGTGAGAAATCATGCCCAAGGGGGAATAGCCACACCACAATACCTTTCCCGCTCATGATTTTAGGTATGAATGCACACATGCCTGGCATGATTTTGCAGCTGGTGGGTCTGTGACCTAGCCTGCCCAGTGGACCGTGTGTGATCCAGCCATCTTAACCAAAATTAACTGTTGAATATCATGCATGTTTTTGTTTTTATGTTCTGGAGTCTGAGTTTTTTTTATTCTTTTGATTTTTAAAAATAATGAATTGAAGTTTTAAAATGATATTTTCAGAATAGCATTAGGAACCAGCAGTTAGCATAATGGCTATGTCACTGGACTCCCATGTAGTTGACGGCAGTTCGCGGCCCGGACCCAGTGGCTTAAAACTCACACCGGGTGCGTGTGTGTGCGTGCTCAAGATCCCGAGAGGAGAATGGAGGAAAAGGGATTGCGGAGTGACCATCCCCTCTGGGGGGTGATTTCTTGCTTTCTGTCTCTATGTCTCTCTCTGTCTGTCTGGTGAGTGTGTGTGCCCTATAGCGAAAATTTCTCAAAAAAAGAAAAAAAACAATAGCAATGAATTATTTTATCTATTGATTGATATAGATATATATTGTGTGAATGTGAAAAGGTAATAGATTTTGTGCTATCAAAGTAATATTCGTATTGTAGGCACACCCACTGCTTCCAAATTTTTATTAACTTAGAAAAATTCTTCTTCATCAGTAGTAGGGATAAATTTTTTCTTCCTTTTTTTCTCCTCTGGGAGGAGAGAGAGAGAGACGGAGAGATGGAGAGAGGGGAAAAGGGAAAGCTGGCTCAATAACTGTAACTTTATACCCATTGAAAATGAACTCTCTGTGTCCCCCTTTCATCAGTCTCCTGGAAACCACTGTTCTGTCGTCTGCTTCTATAGCTTTGACTACTTCAGATACCTTAGACACATGGAATAAGAGTATTTTATTTCAAAGGTCTTCCATGGCTCAGAATAGATCTCTCCTCATTTTATCTGTTGATTGTTATTCAGACATCTGTGTTATAAGAGTCATGATTTGGGGGGCAAACAAGTGTCGTAGTGGTCAAAGTGCTGGACACCCACATGGTTGACCACGGTTTGAGTCCCAGACTCAGCAGCTTGAAAATCACAGCAGGCATGCATGTGTGCAGGTGCGAAAACTCAAGAGAAACATGGAGAAGTGATTGTGGCATGGACATTGCTCCAGAGGGTGATTTCTCACTTTCCCTCTCTCCATCTCTCTGTCTCTCTCTCTCTCTCCCCCCAGAGGGAAAAAAAGAAGAAGAAGAAAATTTATCCCTGCTACTGATGAGGAAGAATTTTTCTAACTTAATAAAAATTTGCAAGCAGTGGGTGTGCATATGATACGAATATTATTTTGATAGCACAAAATCTATTACCTTTTCACATTCACACAATATATATCTATATCAATCAATAGATAAAATAATTCTATGCTATTCTGAAAATATCATTTTAAAACTTCATTATTTTTAAAAATCAAAAGAATAAAAAAAAAAACTCAGACCCCAGAACATAAAAACAAAAGCATGCATGATTTTCAATAACATCTGAAGCTAACAGACTCACAAACCTATCCAACTTCACCAGCAAGAAAATGGTTGTAGGTAAAAACTCTAACATCCCCCATTTTGACCTTTGAATCATTTCTTATGGGAATCGCGATGTGAAAGAAAAAACTGTGAAATGTTTGTTTGATCAACTCCTGTTGAAAGGACTTAATAGCAAGCAAGCTAGTCAATTCACTCTTCAAAAACAATATAGAAATATGCACAAGTACCTTCTTTTCAAAAACTCCTTAACACATCCAAACGTCATTGCACGTCTCAACCCAATTCTGATTCTCCTTTTCCTGCTTCTTTAACAGCACATTTCTGTGAACATGTTCTAATTTGGCTGAAATCATTTTATTTCTCCTGTTCTGTCTTCCCCCTCATCCAATTGGATGGCTGTTCCCATCACTAAATTGTTCACAGTGATGCCTGCATTGCTAAGTCTGACAGACACATGGCTTGTTAACAAATTAAATAAATTAGGAATAAATAACTTTGTTAGACAAGTACCAAGCAAATCAATGTCTCAGTTTTTACAGGCTGATTTGGCTCTCAGGTGACCTCAGGTAGATGTCCTAGGCATCCCTTGTCTCTGAACTGTTCTTGCAGTACCTACCGGGCTCTCAGACTCACCTATACGGGCTCTCAGAGAGGACAGTCTTCTTGTGGAAGGGTGAACTTCTCCCTAGATAGTTGATGATGGAGCTGAAGTTCTTTCCCCAGAAAAGACACAATGAAAGAATTAAGCATGTTCCCTAGCCAGAGAGGGGATTTGGAAAACATCAACTATGTCTTGTGTGTGTGTGTGTGTGTGTGTGTGTGTGTGCACTCAGATTTGTTTATTTATTTTTTTAGAAAGGCCTATATTTCCAGAAGTACACTAAATGCACAAATATCAGTTCTATAAATACCATAAATTAGCAGCAAAATGTTTAGGTTATAACATTCCTAAATTTAGTTTTAGATATATAGTTATTGACCAGTTAGTTTGGTTACAGGTTTTTTATTTGTTTATTTATTATCATAATAATCCTGGGCGCGTGTGCGTGCATGCCCAAGATCCCGAGAATGGAGGAGAAGGGATTGCGGCGTGACCATCCCCCCTGGGGGGTGATTTCTCGCTTTCTGTCTCTATGTCTCTCTCTGTCTGTCTGGCGAGCGCACGCGCCCTATGGCGAAAACCTCTCCAAAAAAAAAAGAAAAAGAAAAAAATAATCTTGTTTATATTACATTGAATCACATACAACTTTATGGTGTATTACATTTCCCCCTCCAGAAGGAATGCCATGCATATCAGTCAACACAGAAACACCAAAATCCCCATTTCATCATCCAATAGCCTCCCATTATTTCCCCTCATCATTATTATTATTATTTCAATTATCTTTTTAAACAGTCAATTACTATTTCTCATTTTGCCTATAAAAAGACTGCCCAACAACATCAACCATGTCTTGTCCAGTCTAAGACTTGAGGGATGATGAGAGGAAATATTTACAGCTGCTTATATCTGCTCATTAGGTACATTTCCTCCTTATAACTACAAAGTCTTAGTACCTGATTTCCCTTGTAGACTCTGGTATGGGAAGAAAGAAAAATTTTCCTAAACTGAGTAGTTGTTCTCAAGAGACCAGACTGAAAATGGGACGAGTCCAGTCTTACTACACATTCTCTGTGAAATCTCCTGCCTTTAAAGGTACTTTCACTAAACATGAGTTAAAAATTTGTCATGGGTCAACAGGTGACATGGAGGTTAAGGTGCTGAATCCTACCTATATGAATGTGTGGTTCAATTACCAGACCTGGTGGCTTGAACACCATGCTGGGCACGTTTGTGTGTGTGTGTTCAAAATCCTGAGAAGAGATTAAAGGAGAAAGGATTGCAGCATGGCCATCTCCCTGGGGCTGGGGGTGATTTCTCACAATCCTTCTCTCTGTGTCTATCTCTCCCACTCTCCTGCTCTATAATAAAAACCTTTAAAATATATTTTTACTTTATAAAGGATTGTCATTTAGTGTTTCATTTATGTAACACTGGGTAATTATAAGAGATAGATGTGGACCTCTTTACACATAGTGGACTGAAGTTAGAAATGTACATGTTTTATTTCATTTGATTTTTACACAATTCCATTCCAGTAGGACACATTATTAATAAACTCATTCTACATTGCAGAAATGAGATTCAGGAGGGTTAAATCATGAACCAAGCAAGGATGGAACTTTGACTGAAACTCTATCAAGATCTTTCCAGGTCTCAGGCTGTAGGCATGGAGCAAACAGAAAGGAAATATCAGTCCAAGGATAAAGCAGAAACATGTCAAAACTTCAACTGTGAGGGAAAAGATAGTTCATGTGATCTCTTTTTTTTAATGTATTTTTTATTTTAATTTTATGTCATTTACATTTCATCATTGTACATTTTTACAGCATACAATGTGAGTTCTCAAAGCATAAATGCATTGCATGTTGAGCAAGTCAAAAATGTTAACTTTTATTTCTTTTGTCTGTTAAACTTTTTTTTAGTTGTTTTCATTTTTACTTTTAAGTAAACTTTTTGGGGAAGAAAATTACAGATTAACATGCTGAGATATCTATGTGTCCTTTACTCAGTTTCCCCAGTGAAATCATCCAGCAAAACCATAGTACAAAATCATGCCAGGTCGGCGGGAACCAGCAGTTAGCATCATGGCTATGTCGCTGGACTCCCACGTAGTTGACCACGGTTCGTGTCCCGGACCCGGTGGCTTAAAAAAACTCACGCCAGGCGCGTGTGCGTGCATGCCCAAGATCCCGAGAGGAGAATGGAGGAGAAGGGATTGCAGCGTGACCATCCCCCCTGGGGGGTGATTTCTCGCTTTC